ATACATATTTATATATATATACATATGTATATATATATATACACATACATATGTATATATATATATACATAGGTACGTTTACATATGTCAGAATATGCTACATTAGACCACAAGATGTGTTGACGGTGGTATGCGAGTTTGATTGCTCATATAGAGGCCTTCATAATTACCTACTACTATCTTGCAACCACTTATTATAATTATAGTATAAGATACTCCAATATATCCTATTCTAGTCTAGGCCTCTAGATGAGCAGCGTTGCTCAGACTTGACTGTGGTGGGTGGTGCTGGTTTCACACAGCTGCCCACATGACGCCTATGACATATGAAGTTTGGGTTTTCCTGCCCACACACACAGACACAAACACGCTGGACTCTAAACCCTAAACCCTAAACCCTAAACCTTAAGCTGAACCGCCGACTGCTAGTAGGGCCGAAGCCTACATCGCCGAAGCCGATCGCCCAAGCCGCACGGTCCAATCTCAGACCTCGGCTGCAGCGTGTCGGAGTATATTTTCGCATGCTAGTGTATATCGCAGCATATTGTGTCATGTGATGGCATAGGATAAGTATGACATGGTAGATGATCGTATATATGATAGTATATTATATAGTATATTGCGGTATGTTATGGTATATCACAGTATGTTAAAGACAACCAGGACGAACGAGCGGCCCCTTAACCAGGCTGCCACAGCACACAGCCAGTGGTTCATCCTTCGTAGCAGGGTGCCCGGTGTGAGCGATAACGAAATTCATGCCATCGCTGCGTGTCACACTCCACAATGCCCAGCAAATCAGATTCACGTAAAACTCCTACTGTATACTCCTTTTTGATTACCAAAATCACTTGTCTTTCTATCCTTGCCCTGCCCATCGGAAGCGAAATCCCAAACTCCGTGCAGAAACCCTAAACCCTGAAACCCTAAACCCTAAACCCTATAAATCCTAAACCCTAAACCCTGCATCCAGGCAGTCCTCCCTCAAGAGCAGTGCGGAGCTGGGCGTGGCTTGCCTACTTGGAGGATCATGGGACTTAGTAAGTAAGGTTTAGGGTTTAGGGTTGAGGGTTGAGGATCATGGGACTTAGTAAGTAAGGTTATAAGTCCCTTAATTGGGGTTATAAGTGTAGTTACCCTAATTATAACCCTATTTACTAAGTCCCATGTTCCTTTACGTACACAGAGAGTGGCCCTGTGTAGCAAGCGAAGGCATAGGCATAGAGTCTCGGGTCGAGGGTTCAGGGTTTAGGGGTTTAGGGTTTAGAGTTTAGGATTCAGGGTTTAGGGTTTAGGGGTTTAGGTTTAGGGTTCAGGGTTTAGGGGTTCAGGGTTTAGAGTACCGGGTCAAGGCTTTGGGTTGGAGGTATTGGGTTTCGGAGTGGTGGGTTGAGGTCTGGGGCGTAGCAGGCCGCGCAACCCTAGGCCCCGACATACCCCCTGCAAAAACCTTAAGTCTGAATCTTAAGTATGCGCCGCATTGACCCAGACGCTTGCTCGAATATAAGCCAGTTTAAGCTACTATGGTCGGGGTTTATGGACAAGTAAAGAATCAGTTCTCCGTATTCTAGTAACTTAAATTCAATTCCTTAAACACGGGCCAAGACCTGACAACGCCTTATGGAGCCCGTCAATTATGAAAACTCAACACAAAAATCCTTGGCAGTAAGAAATCCTTAAGTCATGGGAACTTAAGACAATGCGTGTAAGAGGCCACTGCTATCGCATCTTCATGCGCTTCGATGGTTCCGGGCTCCTCGAGAAGGTGGGGTAACCACCCGCACCGAAAAACCCACTGAAGCCCTGAACCCCATACACCCTAAACCCTAAACCCTAAACCCTAAACCCTAAACCCTAAACCCTAAACCCGAAACCCTAAACCCTAAACCCTCAACCCAGGCCCGAAAACCCGTAACCTTAAATCAACAAGGCGTTCAACCGCTCAACGCCAAAACCCAAAACCCAAACCCTCAAAATCTGACTCAACCCTTCACCCTAAGCCCACAACAATAAAGCCCTTGGTTTCTGGACCACGCAGTGAGTGGTCAAAGTTTCAGAGCAGGGGCTTCGCACGAGATATCCTCTGGGGGTATTCCTATATATGTATAGCTCCGAAGACGGACTGACCAGAGCTTTAGGTTGAGGGGTTTACTTTGCTTTCCTCGGTCATTTCCACACCATGTACCTACTATATAGGGCACTAGAGCCCCTAGGCCCTAGGGCCCTATATAGTAGGTACCTGGGGGGTTAGGGCAACATGGAGTCCGCCGCTAGAACAGAAGCCGGAGTTTCCCGGAGAGGTCGAGTCCAGAGCCTAAGACAGCAGATCCTTAGTGTCAGGAGCCCTGTGAGCCAGAATCTTTTCAAATGTTCTATATTGACTCTATATGCGTGTGTGTGTGTGTGTGTGTCTGTGTTTATAT